TTAGACAACTCCATGATCTTGGAATCATGTTAGACTTCAGATCTGACCTTTTGGTTGGGTTTAGAGAGCATGCATGAGCTATCTTTACTCCATGCATGAAGAAAAATGGGATTTATGGACTTTTATGAAATTAGGATTGTAGATCCAGCTAGTTTGGGATGTTTGAATGGATAAAATTGAAAACTTTATACAATAATACATCATTTGGATCCATATTTGAAAGTTGGAAGTTTGGACTTAAGGGATTAAGTTATTTTCAAGTTGATGAATAAGGGGGAACATGACGCTTCTTTTATAGGTCGTGACACATTTTCTGGTTTATATGATGCTCGTCTATTTAATGAGAAAAATTTGAATATTTTATCCTATAGTGAGCACGATGTACCCTATAAAGATCGTGATGTGCATGGTTGAATTTTTGACTAAGTTTGACATACGGTCAATCTTTAGGGTTTTGGGTATTGGTATGAGGTTTGACTTTTATGTAATGTCTAGGTTGTTCGTGATACCAACCTTTTCATTATTTGAGTGCATTGGTGATTATTTGGTTTATTTACCAGGTGAGTTTTCTCAATATACTACGTGTGTCAATATGTGTCTTTATATGCTAAGATATAGGTACTGTCTGGTGCTTTTAGGTGTAGATTGGTTAGTCTGTTATGTGGTATGTGTTTGTTTATATGATACGTTCATATGTTTATCTTGGAGTTGATGACAAATATCAACTAAAGTGTTGTGAGTCTAGATAGTCATGATTAGGAGTTGAAGACAAGATCAACTTAAGTGTTATGAGCCTAGATTCTCGATACTGATTAGGCGGATTGATCTTAGGTCTCGAGAGCCTTGGTTGTATGCTTGTATGTATATTGTTCTATATAGTATTTTGGGGATCTCACTAAGCTTTGGCTTATAGTTGTTGATTAAATATTTCAGGTACTTCAGATGATAGTGGGAATGTGAAGACGTGTCTGCACACACATCGAAAACTTTCATGATTGAGATTTCGCGTTGTTTTATGATACTCTAATTTTTTGGGTCATGACTTGTAAAGAAAATGGTTTTACTAATGTTTGGTTTTTATGAAAAATGAGTTTTCTTCTTACATAAAAATATAAAAAAAAAATTATTGTGAAAATTAGGACTTTACATTGTTGACTTCGTGGAAGCATTAATCTGATGTTCTTCTTGAACAATCAAAGCATAAGCATTAGATAAGGATGGAAAAGGTTTCATCATTAGTATATGAATCTCTAATTATCTTGTAATAGTCATTAAGCCCATCAAAAAGTTGAACAAGTCTTCTATTATTAAGAAATTTGTGATGATTTGTAGCAACACCACATGAACATGCAAGTACATCTTGAACAAATCGAAGTTCATCCCAAATTTTCATCAGTTTGGTGTAATAACTTGGAAAATCATATGATCCTTGAGAAATTGAATAAAGTTTTTGTTGAATTTGATAAATCAGAGCTCCACTAAACTGTTCTTACCTTTGATTTAGTTCATGCTAAACTGTAGAAGCAATTTGAAGAAAAACACACTATCAGGACTATTTTTATGAAGAAAATTGAGAATTCAACTAATTACCATGAAATTAGCACGATAACACCTAGGATATGAAGAAGAATGTGCGGTTGGTTGTGGAATCGATTCATCGAAAAACCCTAATGTAACATCCCGTTCCTGGTACACAATTAATTTATTAAAGTATTTATTTTTGAGTCACTCGACGAGTTGGTAGCCCTAACTCGTCGAGTAGATACCAGAAAGGTCGTGGGGATTAAAGGGTCTACTCGGGGAGTCCAAGCATGGACTCGACGAGTAGGTCTGCCAGCATGAAACCCTATTTTCAGGGTTTTGGACCCTATTTAAGCCACTTAATCCCCTTTGGGCCTCCCTCACCAGCCTCCCTATTCACCTAAAACCTTAATTCGCTGTGAGTTCCATTGTTGAGAAATTATTGAGATTTTGAGTGTGTTTTTGTGATATAGAAGAGACTTGGAAGAGCTTGGAGCTATCAAGCTTGTGAAAGAAGATCAAGATCTAGGATTCCATCCATCTTTGGCAGCCTTCTGAGGTAAAAAGTTCTCAGCTTGTTAACCCATAGCTTAGATCTCCTTTAGTGTTGAATTATGGGTCTTTTTGACCCTTTTGAGTAGGATAAGTTGCTCTTCATGGGTTGTATGCTAAGCAATCCCTCTTTCCTGCGCTATTTAGCCCCTAGAACCATAAAAGGGGTCTTGAATCCGTAGTTGTCCAAGCCATGGTCATGTTCATAGAAGTAGGTTGCTATAACTTGAGTTTGGGTCCATTTGAGGTGTGCAAAGCCATCAAGTCTTCAACTTTATAAATATGGACCATGGAAATGACCTGGATTTGTATTTTGGAGCTATAGAAGGGTGAAATCAATTGTATAGATTAGATCTGCAAGGGCCTCGACGAGTTCATATGGGAACTCGGCGAGTCCGATGAAGGAACCTCAATGATGTTCATAGAACTCGACGAGTTGATTAAGGAACTCAACGAGTTGGATGATCTTGTCCCTTTTCTGATTATGCCAGGACTCAACGAGTCAGTTCGACCAGTCTGAAGACGACTCGACGAGTCAGTTCGACCAGTCATGATGATAAGTAGCTTGGGAACTCGAAGAGTCATAAGGTGTCTCGGCGAGCCGAGTTGCGATTCTTGGGTTCTGAGTTCTAGAGTTCTAGAACTCGACGAGTCACAAGGCTGACTCGTCGAGTTTGGTCGACTTGTAAAGTTGAGCTTGACCAGGATGTTGACTTTGACCGGGGGTAAAATGGTCATTTTACCCTAAAAATAGTTATCAGTTTCTGACTAAGTGTTATTATGGAATTTATAGCCGGAGAGTCGCCGGAGCAGCAGACATGGATTCCTCACTCAGAGTTTTAGCAGTCAATTATATGAGGTGAGTTTCTTTTCAGTAGGGGCGGGTCGAAGGGACCAAGGCCGGCCCATCTATATGATATGTTATTAGTTGAGTGTGGGCGGGGCCAGAATCTCGTAGCAGTCTAGTGTGGGCGGGGACCGATTCTTTTAGTATTACTTGAGCATAGATATGTGATTACTTGGTAGATATACTTGTTGTCTGTGTGATACTTGTATGCATGTTAGTAGCGGAGTGTGAGCGGGGTCCGAATCTCCTAAACAACGGAGTGTGGACGGGGCCCGAATCTCCTAGACAATGGAGTGTGGGCGAGGTCCGAATCTCCTAGACAACGGAGTGTGGGCAGGGCCCGAATCTCCTAGACAGCGGAGTGTGGGCAGGGCCCAAATCTCCATGAGAGTGGGTAGGGCCCGTATCTCCTAGTTGTATGATATTTGTATGGTATGTTGTAGTTTGGGGAGACTCACTAAGCTTCGTGCCTACAGCTTCAATTTTGGTTTCAGGTACTTCCGGTAGCAAGGGGTAAGACTCGGGGTGATCGCATGACACACACCACAACATTCAGCTTGGGATTTTTTTGAGACTCTGATATTTTATCATATGTTTTGTCACAGTATTTGATACGACGTTTTGAGATACATGATGTATGGTTTTCTTTATGATTATGGATGATTTATGGTTTTATAATAATTTTCAAAAAACGAAATTTTTAGACCGTGTTTTTAGGGATGTTTCACTTAACTGGTTTTTAGTAGACAAGACGATGATCATGGAATGTTTTCATGGTGTGAATCTGATTCCTTTGAAGACGTTGGAAACAGTGTGAGCTTGGATTATAAAAAGATCAAAGATAAAAACAGGCACAAAACGTTAGTTGATGTTTGATGAGGGGAATGAATCTCTGATCCAGACTTGATTGCGGGAAATTGAAAGAATTTGCGGAAGACGAAATTGGATCAAGTTGTTACCATGTTAACGTTTATGAGAAAAACAAGAGAGAAAGCTCAAAACACTTTTCATTGATTAATTGTAGAAAATAAAACCAATCATAGGTGTTGTTTGTTTTTCTAAAAAAACCTCTTCATACCACTTTTTGCTATGCGACGCAGCACCCGCAACACTTGCCATTTCACAACAGTTTTTTTTGTAAGGTTTCGTACTACAAAACCTCTGCGCGTGTTTTGTTCCACGCAACACTTGACTTGCATCTTCAAACACTTCAATTTTTATTTTTTCCAAATGATTTTTTTAGAAAATATGGTATAACTTGATTTTTTTTTTAAAAACTTCGATTTTCTTTTAAACTTTGATTTACGAATCTGATACATTTCTTTTTATAGTTTCCACAATTTTTATAACTGATTTTTTTTACAACTTTGATTTTTTAATTTAATTTTTTTACTGTTTCTTCTAATAATATTTTTCAGTTTTGATTGTATATTTTTTAACATGTGTGATTCTTTTATGGATTTTCTATACTTTGTTTACAATATTACTTTTTTTTATAATTTTTTTTATGTTATTTAAAATTAGTATTTTTTGAAAAAAAATTGATAGCTTCTTTTACATTTTTTAGAAGTTTTATATTTTTGTTTTTTACATGTTCTTTTTAGTATTCTTTCAATGATTTAAGACTGAGATTATTAAACTTTCAGTATTGAAAACTTATTTTCAATTTGTAAAATTAGTTTAATTAAAATTTTAGTTTACTGCAGCAGCCTGCAGACATTAAAAACAAACAAACTTCTTATTACAGGCTGCAACCATTTGATCTATCTCTTTTTCAGAAGGTTGCAGATGTGATCCCCAAACTTTATTGATTTTTGTTTTGAAAAAAACAAACACCACCATGGTTATGCTCCATAGTTATGTACATGAACTAGAGACTATGTTGCCAAATTAGAGACTAACTAACCAAAGACGTTTGCAAACAAAACTCTAACTAATCTTCTAGGTAAATTACAATAATGCCCTTGTATTAAATTACAAAACTATATATCCTCAAACGGAGCAACGAATGCTGACACAGTTTGGTCCCTAAAGCTTTCATTTCTAAAAGGCAATATTGTTGACTATTTGCAGTGCATAGATCAAGAAAAGCAAGAATAGATTACGAGTATATAGCTGTACTTTATAATTAAATAATTAACCAGAACAGGTCTACATCAAGAAATCAATCTAAGAGGATGTTGAGTAAGATTTAAACGTGTTATGTATGTTTTTGCGACCGAACCCAAGTACAAACTTTCCCCGATCTTCACTCCGGATGATGTCATTCCCCATGTCTCATCATAATACCCTCCCACCACCTTTCCTTCCAAATCTAACACAATAACTCCACCAAATTTCATGAGATCGGGCATTTTACGTAGGTGCTTTAGGGTAAACGCAAAAATCTTGCGCACAAATTGATATTTCTGTGTATACGTAAATAAAAGGGAATTGTCCTGCATATATATATAGAAAGCATGTCACAAGATGAAAATTATATAGTTGCTAGAAAAAGCATGTTATTAAGAAGCTAAATTACCCATGGTAGTGCCATCCAATAGTGCCCATCGCCATCATATCGTACATTATCCGGCAACCCAGGTAAGTTCTTTGCGAAAACATCAATATATCCCTTCTTTTCCCCGTGTAAATAGTACCGAGAGCACCTTCTCCTATAATCGATAACAAATACAAGTTTTAAAATCATAAAACTACTAGAAAATAAAGTAGCAACAATGGATTCAGTTCGATGACTTTAGAACCAGATTGATCAGCGGACTGAATCCATTGCTAGTAAATCATTAGTAACAAATGAAAATAAATAAATTAGATATACAATGAATCAATACTTGTATTACATACATGAATGTCTCACAAAAGATCACAAAGTCTTGATTGGGTGAAAGTTCGACACCATTAGCAAAATAGAGGTCCCGAGCAATCACTTTCGTTTCTTTTGTCGATGGGTCATAGCTCAATAACCTACCGTGAGGGCGACCCTCCATTAGGTCATTCAACGCGGACCGATAGTTATATTTATACGTCGCGTCCGTGAAGTAAACCATACCATTTTTCGCAACCACTACACCATCTGCCAACCCAACCTTTATGCCCTCGGCCTCATCAGTTAACAACTCAATTTTACCATCTACACTTACCTTAAGTAGCCCCTTATAAGCATCCGCCACAAAAACATCACCAGATTCATCAATCGCAAGCCCTAGCGGTTGGCCACCAGTGTGAACCCAATTCTCCACCACCAAGTCCGCCACCGAAACACTCAATGTGACTCGCTTGATCCACCCATCGTGACAACCGGTGTATATGACCCCAGACTTTGGTTCATAGACTATATCCTCGGGTCCGATCAGTAGACCGGACCCCACCTTTTCCACCCCAGAAAGACTCGCTGAGTTCTTTCTGGCTGGTACGTACATTGGTTCACTGACTTCTTGGAGCGGAAATGCTACTGTCTCGTAAGTATCAAGCTGGATGACAAGCATTGCCACCACAACAATGGCCACCGTGGAAAACAGGAGGCTGAAACCCCATGAAGTGCTACGCTTTTGAGTTGTGGTAGGTTTTGAGATTTCGGTCAACTTAACCATGTCTCGTATGATTAGAGGATTTCTCGGACGATGATATGAAGTTAGTAGGCCATTTTGTAATGTGCGCGCGGGAGTAGGTGTGCTATTTTGACTTTGGGTATTGTGGTCGCGATTGGGGTGTAGTACGTGTTTATGCTATTATATTGTGATAATTTTGCTAGGAACCTTTCGTTCCACCCACTTCGAGAATCATCAATATATATTATGTAATAATAACAATATATTATTATTATTAGATAATTATCATTATTATTATGAAAAGTCTTGGGAGTTATAAAATGTATAAGGAAAGGAGACGTATATCGCGAATATAACCATGCAGTGACCCTGTTGATGAATCTAATATTGTTTTACATTTCCTTTAAACATAAATTATTAATTTCTTTTATTTTATATTATAAACCAATGTTTTAAACCCGGGTCGACCCGGCCGGTTGAACCGGTTGGACCGTGATCCGGTGTAGAAGGCGGGTCAATTGAGACCGTTTTTTTTGTAAAAATACGAACCGGATCGAACCGGCCGGGTTTTCCCTAAACCGCGGTTCGACCGTTTATGTCGAACCGGTTAAAACCGGATTGACCCGTTTTAATAGGGTTTGGATAGTTGGATACAAGTATCGAACGCCAAAACAACGAGCCGTTTGCGGTTTCTTTAATGTTTAAACTTTATGGACATCAAATTATTAGTTTTATATGTTTATGGATTATGCATGAAAAAAAATATGAAAATAGAAAAAGATCATAAACCGGGTTGACCCGGCGGTTCAACCGGTTGATCCGTGAACCGATCATCACACCGGGTCAACTAAAAACCCGGGTTTTAAAACATTGTTATAAACTGATATTTTCTACTAATGTTTTTACCTAACTATTACTATAAATATATAATAATGAGTAAGTAGGTTTTTAGTTGGTTTAATAAGGTTTGTAATAACGATTAGATATATATTTCAAGTTTAAAGTTTCCCACACATTATTATTTTGCCGTTTAGACAATCTAAGTTAATAAAGTTAAAATCTGTGTTGTAATCTAATGACTAATAATGCTATAAGCTAATGATTATAACATGCATGTTATAACGGTGATATTTTAATCATTTATAGTATTTGTGTAACTGATCAGACAAACGTGTGAGTATATTTTGTTAATTAATGCATATAGGCTCCTCGACTAATTGCCTGTGATTCAATCTCGATTGTCTAAACATTTTTTAAGATTTTATTGGTTAACTTTTACTGTACATGGTTTCATATTGTTGAAAATAGCTTCATTTCTTGATCACCAATATTTCATAACGTCGCCATCAAAGTAGAATGGATAAGCATTGTCGTCCTTTTAGATTTGCCATTATAATTGATCAAGGTGAATATAGAACTGATTCAGTGGGGTTTGTACATGAATATCCAACCACACCAATTTTAATTTGAATTTGATTCCAAACATTAAGCTCAAAAGTGCATTCCAGTAACGAAAATACACAAAACTTGTATAGAGGAGACCACATGTGACATGTGATAAGGTTAACACATGTAGGATCCTATCTTGACAAAAATTTTCAACAAAATGCATAAGTTTTTATAGGCACCTCTTTTACCCGAGGAAAGTTCACCGCTTATGGATTTGAGAAAACATTCGACGTGATGCTGCATAGGGATTCCACCGATAAAACACAAAACTCCTCTCTCTCCCCTGCATGTCTACGAGTCAGCCATGTCTCTGATTTCAGTGTTGGACAACAAGCGTAGCAATTCAAGTAGCTGATGTAGTTCAATTATGGTGCAAAAAGATTAATAGAAATAATTGTTTTAAAGTGTATCTATACATTGCCGGTCTAAATTAAACCTAATTTCATACAAAAACATATCTAAGTCATACATATAACAAATATTCGGAAATAGATACTATTTGTAAAAGTCATTAATAATATTATCACATAAATATAGCCATAACATTTATAAAAACAACTAGTATAAAGAAAATATATTTCTTTAACTTTTTAGATGCAAAATCACCTATATACTTTCAAGATTAATTTTATCTAATATATTCTTATGTTATTTTTTTTTCCTTTGGATTAACATTGTTTTATTTTATTTTCATTCAAACTATCATCATTGTAACTTTTTCGTTTAGGCTCTCATTGTCTTATTTGTTATTTTGAATCATTCGGTGATATTATTTTGTAACGATTTCTTTGGCCGTTAAATAAAACACACACATAAACACACGTATAATTGTTTATTATTTTGTTTTAAACAAAAACAAAAAATAAAACATGATTAATTTGAATGAAAAAATACATGTTTAATCCGAACAAAAAATAACATAAGGATAAACGTGACCATAAAATAACAAAGAAATAGTTCAAACAAAAAAATAATAATATAGTGATAGTCCAAACAAAAAAAATAACATCGGATGAACCTAAAACAATAAACTGAAACTATAAGCCTGAACGCTTAGTGAGTTACCCCCTAAAATACCCATAAACACAACAATACACATATAATGACAAACAACATACTATGAGTCCAATCATCCATCGGGATGGAATACCCCAGGCCCTTAACCATCCGGTTGGAATGCCGACATACTACGGGTCCAATCATCCATCGAGATGGAATACCCCAGGCCTACAACCAACACGTTGAAATGCCCACATACTATGAGTCCAATCATCCTCTGAATGGAATACTCACGGCCCACAACCAATAGGTCGCATAATTACCACTCCTTTTCGGAGTACCCGCGACTCACATTCCGGCCTCGAGCAAACCCCCGGGCCTTGAATCCATAAACTCCTGTGCTAGCCTCTCCCGCTCAACCTGCAGAATGTAACGAGTACAGAACATATCCCTAGTCTCAAGTAACTGCAGTCCCTGCTCATCAGAATATGTCCCAACAACAAGTCCCGATACTGAAAAGCTCGACCAGCTCCTCTCCTTGCCGTCGTTACAGCTGTTGAAGCTGCTGCGGCAGCCGTCTCAGCAATGGCTACATAGCGCTCGTAGAAATACTCAACCATGACGGTCTTGAAAGACCCAATCATCTCCAGAACCTGTCCCCGAACGATCTCGATCACCTACTCCCGGATGATCTCCCTAACACGATCCTCTAACAATACTGGCCTATCTTGGCTGCCAGCTCCCGATCTTGATCCAGATCCAGTCTCAAAACATCTCTTAACCATCATTCTGATAATACACCAGAAAGATCTAGGATAATCCATACAATAACAGGGATCCAACTTCCAACTAAACCCCAGGGGTTGTGACTTCCTTTTATACACGTATGGGTCCTGTGCTTTCGGTAGTACGGACCCATACTACCTTCTACACTTACCCATATTTGTCTCAAGTATCATCACAACTCCCTAACAATATACATAATCATAGCGAGCGCTCAGTTCTCACTCCTAGATGAATGGTAAATATCTCGTAACTGGCCTACTGGCCTCACATTACTCACTCATCCATGAAACTTCCACCAACCCTGCAGCGCTCGTGTATGCTAGCCATACATAATGTTGGACCCTATAGACTTTCGAATAGCCGATCTTACCCTAAGCCCCCAATCTGACAAGAACAGAACATAAGGCCAAACCAAACATTCTTAGGCTATAAGATCTTAATTATGTACAACCGTGATGCATACACAAGCAACTACAGTAATGATGTCAATCTCATATAAGGAAAACCCTAGGCTAGCAGGCATCATGTAATTAAACAATCCTATCATGCAATTCCTGAAGATCCCTAGCCTAGTACTAGCATGCTATTCTAACATATCACAATATCAAATGATTTTATGGTATTTTGGGGTCTACTTACTGGCTCCGACTGATCGTACACTTTGCATCCTCTTTTACTTATTTTGAAAACCATTTAAAATCATTTTGAAAATCCTTCCTTTATTTGAGACTGGATTCACACGAGTGTTCCTCCAATTCACTCAAACCAAGGCTCTGATACCAACTTGTAACATCCACAAAATTCAAGCCAATTTTAAACTTTTTAGGTCCTTTAAAACCATTTAGTCATTACAATTGGTTTTCAAAATAGTTATACATCAGAGTTCCCAGAAACCATATCATTTGAGGAAGTGTACGGTCACACCTTTGCCTTCCCGCGGCCATCCGCTGAACCTGAAACAATAAACTAAAACTGTAATCCCGAAAGCTTAGTGAGTTAACCTCAAAATACCCATACACACAACAATACACATACAATGACAAACAACATACTATGGGTCCGATCATCCATCGAGATGGAATACCCCAGGCCCTCAACCATCCGGTTGGAATGCCAACATACTACGAGTCCAATCATCCATCAGGATGGAATACCCCAAGCCCACAACCAACAGGTTGGAATAACTACATACTATGAGTCCAATCATCCTCGGGATGGAATACGCTCGACCCACAACCAACAGGTTGGAATGCCCAGGTCTATTGGTTTTCGCACAAAGTAGATAAGCCTCAACCGCCAAACAAACATGTGCACATATAACAGATAACAGTCTATAGATAGACAAACCGATCTAACATATCATAACATCATAACAACATCCTATCTACTAGGATACTGATCTAACGAATCATAGCAACATATAACATCCTATCTACCAGGATACTGATCTAACAGATCATAACAACATATAACATCCCATCTACAAGGATAATGATCAAACAGATCATAACAACATATATCATTCTATCTACCAGGATACCGATCTAACAAATCATAACAACATATATGATCGTATCTACTAGGATACAGATCTAACAAATCATAAAAGCATAACATATCAGGATAACAATTCGAAAAGGGTTGGCCTTAGTGCCTTAGACCCTTGAGTATAGTGAGGATAACTCACCTCGCAACTGTCGACTCGAAAGATAAGCTCAAACTCTCGGATCACCGCCACAAACTCCTCCACCTATATTCACCATAGAACCATACTCATAAATTTCCAACTTCTCAAAATGCCCCAGAAGTCAAAGAGTCAACCCTTGGTCAAAGTCAAAGTCAATGATCAAGGTCAACAATCCAAGTTAACCCGACTTGTCGAGTGCAGTCACTGACTCATCGAGTCCTTCCAGAACTCGCGTAGTC